AACCTTCGAAACTGCACAGACAGAGCAGGCTTCTACATAATCTTTAATATTCCTCCCACCAAGTGACTCCCACCAAAATGACCTGGAAATAACGGATACAGTTTTATTAATACCCGCATGCCCAGCGGTCACATTGTCATGGAATACCTTCAGCACCACTTTCCTGTCAGGCAATGGAATAAACAATTTATCTTGAGGTTTGTTGCAAGGTGCCTGGGGCTGAGCCGCCATGATAGCCCGGAGCAAAGGGGATGATAAAGAAAGGACAGTGTATGTAATAATTGTGAAGAAATGACTCCGTTCATCAGGATTTCTACCTTTGTTGTACAGTTAATTCACCAAATTCAGCTGGAATTCGGCATATAGCTTTAATTTCTACCCTTCGGATGGATTCAGGCGAATTCCCTGTGTAAAATCTAGGTGGCCGCCATTTCGGCACTTTACACGTGGCCGCGGCCATTTTACGTGCGAACAGCGGTGTTTGCCCGTCAACGCGTGGAACTAAGATCGGATACGCAAACAGGCGAACACCGCTGAGACCTCCATACATCCAGAACTTCGCACGGGAACGACCGAATCACCGGCCGTTCGGTAGTTACATGCAACTTCGTATGGGGATTTCAACGACCACAAAGATGCGAACGGATGGCAGGGCTTTCGTCTCTTTTATTTGCCTAAACGGAGACCGACCGCAGGGCCAAAACTTATGGAACTATTTTCGGCTAGATGATCCGTGCGGTCGGTCAAAACTTTAGTGTTCTATAACTCCCGAACCATTCATCCGAATGGACTGATTTTTTGATATGTTGTCTCCACAAATGAGAACTATCCAGCGGTACCAGATTTAAAGGTGTACCCCCTGTTTTTGGGGTACATCCAGAATTGGGGTAAAATAGTGCACGTTTTAATTAAGTTAACTGTTTATCAAAGGGGAGGGAAGTATGGGCTGTAACCTATACCTGATTGGTGATTTAATGCCTTCCCCTGGGTGTGTACTTTTTGTCTGTAACCTTAATAAAAAGCAGGCTGGAGATTCCAGACCTCAGATCTACTTGTAACCTGATTCTGGACTCTGACTGTTATTTGGGAATTCGTATGCTTTACCAAGGGGATTATCTTGGGAAGCTGTTATATTTCTTATGGACTTCATTGCTTAGAACTACCTTAGACGCTGGCATTGCAGGAGGAATTATCAAAGCGGTTCAGCTATACTTGATTTCCTTACAATAATACACTCAAAAGAAATACTAGGGGATGTCTCTTGTTCTAGATCCAATTCAACGTCAAATTGCCTAGACAAGACGTCAACTTTAATGTTCTTAGAACCGGGTCTGTAGGTGATAATGAGGTTAATGCAAGACAAAAATAATGACCATCTAGCTTGTCTAAAAGACAGTAGTTTGGCATCCCCAATATATGCCAGGTTCTTGTGATCAGTAATAATCAGAATGGGATCCTTGGAACCCTCCAAAAGATGTCGCCATTCCTTAAGTGCTAGTATGATGGCTAACAGTTTTCTATTACCAACGCAGAAGACAACTTTCTGGAGAAGTATCCAGATGGATGCAAAGGAGCATCCTGACACTCTCTCTGAGAAAGAACAGCCCCGACCCCTGTCTCGGAGGCGTCAACCTCAAGTAGGAAAGATTTACTAGTGTCAGGATAATCACATTTGTTTAAGAAGCTCAAATGCCTCTTTAGCTTCTTTATGCCATATTGTACAATTAGCCCCCCTTGCGTGTCTTATTGGTGATGGGGGCTATTACCGAATAGAAACCTTTGATGAATCTCCTATAATAGTTAGAGAAACCAATAAACCTTTGTATGGCTTTTAATCCACGGGATAATGGCCAGTGTAGAACGGCCTCTGGTTTGCTAGGATCTGTTTGGAAACCAGAGGCAGAAATATTATACCCCAAAAACTGAACCTTATGCTGATCAAATATGCATTTCTCAAGTTCACAATAAAGTCCATTATCAAGCAATGTTTGTAATAGTTCCTTAACTTGTTCATGATGAGTCTGGAGGTGTGGAGAATAAATAAGGATATAATCCAGGTAAACTAGAACATCGATAATAAAATCCTGAAACACGGCCAGAGCACTGTATAATCCAAAGGTCATGACAAGGTTTTCATAGTGCCCACTCCTAGTGTTAAATGCCGTCTTCCATTCGTGATCCTCCCTAATCCTCACCACATTGTATGCACTCCTAAGGTCAAGTTTGGTAAAGATCTTAGCACCCTGGAGTCTATCAAACATTTCGGATATAAGGGTAATGGGCTAGGCATTCTTTATAGTAATCTTGTTTAATGCCCTGTAGTCAATACAAGGACGTAACTCTCCATCTTTTTTTAGCTACAAAAAGAATCCTGCTCCAGCAGGCGAGGATGATTTACGTATATGGCCTTTTCTTAACGATTCTTTGATGTACTCATCCATGATCTTACTTTCTTGTGGGGATAGGGCATATACTGCCCCCTTAGGAGGTATAGCCCCAGGAAACAGAGCAATGGAGCAATCGTATGACCTATGTGGAGGAAGAACATCAGTCTGGATTTTACTAAATGCCTCCCTAACCTCCCAATACTGTACGGGAATTTTGGGGGTCAGATGTAGAAGCGGGTAAAGCAACAATGCCCAC